ACATTAAGTTTTCAGAATCATGTGGCCCCGGGAAATATTTTAAGCTTATAATATTTCCTCTCCTGAGCTTTAGATGAATTTAATAAATGCTTTAGCACCAATAACTTGTCAATAGATGTAACACACAGCAAAAATAAGTGGATGCGGAATAGAATTTATGAAATCTTCACGAGTAGATCAGTGACAAGAATAAAAATCATAGATTGTTGATTTCCATGAAAACTGAACCAACGCTTCGGTCGGTTGTGTTCACTGATGGTCACAGAAATCTTTTGTCGAATTAAATTAGCAATTTCAAAGGACTGATTTGCAGAGATTTGACTGATTTCAGGATTGATCACTCAGTGAACTGCTAAAACCTGAAAGTACCAGACAGCTGTTTCATTCCATTTTAGAACTCTTCAGAGTTATGCACCCATCACCCCACCAGTAGTCGGACTCAGAATCTTCAGGTTATAAGGCTACCTTGTAGACATTTCCAGTGGGGAGTTGTGACCAGCTGAGTCCACCAAGCTGGGTGTGAGAACAAAATCTCTGTGATGATATTGGTGGCGATGGAGGTGTTTATCATGAATCAGTAAAATTCAGGCTTGGTGAACTATTGGATTTCGTCTAAAAAGTTCGATGCTCAACGGCCCTTCTTATAAAATGTAGATCCTAAATCCGACACCTAGTTAAGTCATTAGCGCATACTGCTGAGAAGCCACGAAAAGGGATGATTTTCAGTGGTTGGCTAAGTTGGATCAGCCGAAGATCAATCTTGTTGATTAGCAGTCACTGATAAATGAGTACAACGAGTAACTTTCAAATGTGAGACAATTATTTGACCCAGCAGGTCAAAGACTACTCTTTCTTCTGGACATGAGCAAAAAATACATGTTGTATATAGGCACACTTTGGAAAAATTCAATCTGATTGTATACTTAGTTATTTGGTATTTCGATTTCCCTGGATCATCTAGTAAAGTGAATTTGTTTCTGAAAGCGTTTCTTTGAAATCTGAAAACGTCGCCTTCACTTAGCAAATTTTAAGAAGCAACAATTTTAATATAAAGTAATATTTTATGATCCAACTACTTCTGATGTATAACTCAACAGCTGAATACTGATGGATGGCACTAGAATTTATGAATTCATTAAGTAGGAGTATTTTCATATTTGATGCCTATTTTAGAGTCAATAAAAGAAAAAAATATTTCCAGGTTCTGAAGATGAAACAACTTGAACTTAAGTCAACTTGAGTCTTTAATATGATATTAGACACTGCGATGGGAAATAATTCCGTCTTACGTAAGTTTATTTGATTTAACATACAGTGTACAGTATCATTATATGGAAGACGTTTCGAGCGCAATTTACTGCTCATAATCGTATCGATGCATTCACACGACTTCCTGACTTGCATTTCATACCTTTACTCTCTCTGTCTCACTTTGTCATTGCAATGTTTCGCATATTCATCAGTGTTGCACAATCATTTCAGTTCCACACGTTTGGTGCTGATCTGATGATAATGTTTGGAGTTAAAAACTAAGTAGTACGATTTAAGAATGCCCGCCAATCATACAAAAGTTCTTTGTTTGATTCCTGACTAATTTACTTATAAACCTTACCTGTTTCACTAGTCGGTATGATACCAGGAGAACAGGAAAGGTTGCTTATGAGATTAGTGGCTCTATCATTTAGGAAACAACACCGCCGCCAATGAACTTTAAAGCTTTATACCCTGTGCTGCATTTGGAAGTTATGCAATGTTAAAATTTATTAATAGCTTATCGACATTTGAGAGTCGGCGGCAGAGTGGTAGAACGCTAGCCAACCACTCATGTGGTTTGAGGTTCGATGCCCGGCCGACGCACTCTTCTACATCGCTAAGCCAGTAATAAGACTGAGGCTAGGAACCCCATCCCGTAAAAATAATCACTAATGCCACCAAAACTTCAAAGCTCTAGCCTGAAACCCTATTTCCCACTGGGAACGTAAAGGAACAAAATTTTAAATAATAAATCAACATTTAGCTAGTCTCAGTCATAACTGTATTCGTAGTGTTACCTCCAAACCCTGATAAACCACAGCTGCATTGGTAACAGGTACTTATACATGACAGTGAGTAAATAAGTATGGATTACAAGTGAACTAAATGTTAAGGGATGAGTGGGTAACTGAATATGTGACACGATAATGGTGACACCTTGTATTTGATCTTCTGTTTTGTAAATGCAAAATAAAACAAAGCCCACTGAGAGACTATCATACTACTTTCTAACGTCATTTTATGCATGATATTTCTTCTCGAAGTTTGCTTAATTGACTCATATTTTATATATTACTCATTTTAATTAAAATAGCCACATTTCGTAGAAGCCACCATCAACTGACTGTAGTACTTTTAAAAAAGGAATTCAATTTCACAAAGTTCAAATACGTATGTGAACATAGAGTTGAGGAAGCTATCACATAACAACAAGTCAAAAAACTGAGTAAGAAACAGCGTGTTGGATGTGAGATTGAGGATGATATGCAAAAGCTCGTGTTCATAGGAAATGGAAGCTTACTGTGGCATTCGTGAAACCAAGTCAAATCGATGTCAGACGACTGAGTGGAACGGTGATCTGTTGTGAAAGTTATGTTCTACTCGAGACGCAAGAAACAAGTCATAATACTAATTTCGATTTTTAAAATCTTTTTTATGTAATATTAATTTTAGATTTATCCGCAGACAATTCAAGGTTTGAATAAATTAAAGTTATTTCTCAAGGTATGCGAAGTGACGGCTCAATAATACGGCTGAATATTAAAAGATCTTGTGGTATACTCTGATTATATATATATATATATGTTCCATCTTATCAACTACACTAAAAACTTAAGGCAATTTGGAATCAATCAACCCCTACTTTTACAATCGGTTAACTCTTTCATACTACCCATTGTTGTTTATTCTTCCCTTTTCGTCTTTCCTGAGCTAGTTAAAAAAGACCACCTCACAATGCTCAGAGTACATAATGACAGTAGGGCGAGTAGTGTGCCACTTAGTAAGCTCGTTTCTATCGTAGTTGACAGACACCTGAACTCACAAGTGAAATGGCCCAAATCCATATTATCTGAATCTTAACACCCTCTACATCTTCAACTCTTCCCGCCTTGCATCCCATCAGGAAGAACTAAAAGTAAATATGAAACTTTTACTGTCACAACCAAATACAAAACTCAACGATACCCTATTTGGTCCACGGTCTGAGTGATACAGATAGTGTGAAGCGTTAAACCGACGACTTACTATGTTATCATCAAAATAGCTGTCTCCTTTCGCCTCTCCCATTTGTAATCTACGTTAATAATGTTTCAATTATCTTATACTCTTAGCTATTAACATTAATATTTTATACTTTTCGTGAATGTTTGACTTCATAGTCACTGCGTATACTAAAGCAGCTGCAGTTATCAATTCTTGCTAAGTATGCCCTGTAATATTAATTTTGGTTTTGTTTTTGAAGTTGTCGAGTAAATTAAATGCAGTGTTGTACCGAATGCTAAAAATTCCATACTGCTGTTTAGGAGTAAAGCAAACTGTTATTATAATTATTATCCAATACAGACCACTAGAGTAGCCTGCCAGTATTTTATCATCAAACTATTGATGAATAAGAAGTGACAAATGGCATAAATTCACAGCTGTGGTAGAATAATGACCAATTAAACCATCGGATCTCACAGTTTATTGAGTAGAGCTTCAAATAGGTAGTCCAGAGGCTACTGGTTTGAATCTCACCGCTAATTAGATCATTATTTTATCTTTACAAAGCACCCATTAAATGAATAGTAAGTGAATAATAAAGGTTGTAAAGGTTCTCTAACTGACATCAACCTGTGATCAAACTTCAAATAAATCAAATCTCTACAAACTAACTCTTGAAAGGTAATCTAATGCTCCTTATTGACTGGCTTCAGGAGGAAGTTGCCAAGAGTTCTTGTAAGCGTTTGTGATCAGTGGTTCCTAACAGCCTGAAAGGGAGGACAAATACTCGCCGATGACACTGGTTGGTGTTTGCACTAAAATCACGAACTGGTAAAACTCAAAACTGATGGGCTACGGACTCGTGTCCTAGTGACCTAATGGCCTTAATGCTCACTTCGTAACTGAAAGGTCGCAGGTTTGAACCCTAGCAGTGATTACGTACTACCTGCAAATCCCAAACTAGGGCGAAACAACTGTCCAGTACTCCATGCTAGTTTGGAATCGTTCTCTAACTGATATTAATCCGTGGTCAAATTTGTAATAAATAAATGATTCGTGCGTCAGCTTACGCACATCATATTAAACTGACATTCGTTTATTTGCGGATAATTGGTTAACTATGAGGAATACTAAGAGGAATCATTAGTTTGAAGATTGCAGCATCATCTACTGTATACTGAATGTATTTTAGTACTGCCACTAACCTGATAAAAATCGTCGGCGTCAATTACTTAGATCATTGGCTACAAAAATTCATTATTGAAGAAATTACTACACTATTATGAATCTCACTAACTGAATTTAATAAAATTAACGGAGTAATCTCTATTTAAAGATAAACTAATACTAATTATATGAGATTAGAGAAGCACAGTGTGAATAACAAAAATATGTGAAACGATCTAGCGCAGATGTTTCACACGAGTTTATATCCACATCATAGATCCGGCTAACAGCTGTAAATCCAATTAATTCACCGCATCCGTTATTTTTCAATCCTTATTTTTCAAGTTCACTATAGGGCTGGATGCTCTAAAGTTTCAGTAGCAACGGTGTTGTGCTCACAGCATGAGGTTGTTAGACTCACATCCCACTTAATCCCTTTTGCAAGCTTACTGCTTGCCAGTAAATTAGACAAGGTCGAGGTACACACTAAGAACTTCCACGTAGATAGCTATCATTCCATCAATAAACCATCGACGTACAATGCATCACTTCATATGATATTACTCAAACGCTTAAAAAAATCAATAAAAACATACCTTTTTTCCTCTGGCGAACAAGGTTCAATTAAAAGTCCAATCGACTTATGATCCTCATAAAAATTAATACAAATATATTCATTGTTAATTGTTAATGTAATTGTTTGTTGTATCTTTCTCAAATTTGATATCACGTAATTAAATATATGTATATTCAATTATAATGGGATAATATTTTATAAAAAGAGGATAAAAACCCACAAAGAATAATCCACTTTCTTGTCAAAAAAAGGCAATGGAGTAGATATTTGTGTGGCGCTTAATTTGAGCTTATCACCTCTTGGAGAGATCACTTGAGTTAATGAACAAATGAGTAATAATAATAGTAATAATAATAAAATCTGTAATATCTGTAATATTTCAAAAATTTTTCTTTCGCTTTGTAGTATGTAGGATATTTCGTAGAAAAATAAGAAAAATTGCACAAACCAGTGAGATGCCGAACAGACGCACAAGTACACAAACGGATCGTAGGGTTATGTAAAGTTATTCATAGGGAGAATATATACGTATATATATATATCTTACGACCCTTGAAATATATGCCTTACACAATGTGCATGCATAGTTTCCGGATCACAGGAATCACTATTTGCTTCATTATTGTTATTATCATTTTCAATAGCATCATCATCATCATTGTTCTGATGATAATTAAACGAGGTTCACTAGTTCGCGTTTGTTCAATTATCCTATTTCTGTTGTTGTTATCATCTGCCTACGCCAAAAAGTGTTCAATCGACCATAGTCACACAGATAGATATATGTGCGCAAGACTGTGTTATCTATCATTCTCTATAGGAAAGTGGCTGAATACAAAAAAAGCACCCTAAGGTGGTGCTATTAGTTAAAGTAGTAAGGGGAAATGCACCCACGTATTTATCAGATAAGGAAGGCATCAGAATGTGTTTGCGTGCATACATATATGCGTGTGGGTGTGTGTATGTGTGTCTGCGTGTGCGTGTTATTATAAAAAATAAGTGGACGAGATTGTGCACACTAGTTGCAAGTGTTTTCTAAACAGAAAAAGTATGCTTACTTTTTGTGTGTTCTATGTTTGACGTTACCTATTTTATTAATAGTTATTTAATCTAGCATTATATCCATACTATTAAGTCAGAATATAATAAAAAAGAGTTTATGGTATTTGCACATATCATATTATGAAGTCTCAGTATTACTGTAATTGTAAACTTTCTCAAGAATGCAAGGCATCCAGCTTCATTAGTAATTATTCTCTAATTCCCTGTGGTAAATACATTATATATATATATATATATTAAGCATTTAGCCGGATAAAACAGAGTTCTCATAACCTCAAAAACTGAACGCGTATATTAGTCAGGATGAAAGCAAAGATGCTCTGTGTACTTATTCAAATGATGTTTAAAAAACTAGACACCGACAGTCAGATAGGAAATATGTTCCTCGAATTCCGGTATTAATTAATTAATTAATTGTTTAAGTTATCGCCGTATTCCTTTATTGGTTGATTTGTATTGGTCGGAAAGGCTTTATCACCGTTAGTTACATATGCTTTTTGTGTGCATACTTCAGGTTTTGTCATTTGGGTATACACACATCCCCATTGAATAATGTTGTATTCAATGAGGTTTGAAAAAAGCTGGGGGGTCCCGAAATGGACGAAAAGCCTTTCCTGGATTTCCCTGCTAGTCATAATCTTCCAAAATAACATCCCTTTAGGTTGTTTTCAGAATAAAATAAATAGTACAACTGAGGCAATAGCATAGTGGCTTATTACTATTATTCCAATGGGTTCCGAGAGGTACATAGGGCTTTAGCTGTACATCACCGTTTGACTATGTTGTCACTCACTTTCACCTGGCTCCATGATTGCCCACAAGCTCTGATCTCTACCTCACATATCTTCCTTCATGTCATAAGCAAACTTATCTTGAGACTACCTAGCGCTTGATGTTGCTCAGCTTGTATACGATTCATATTTGTTGGACAGTTGGTTCGGGGTTGGTTCAGTGCCAGAGTTCTTTGTCGTTTATCCTTTCTAACCACCTGCTCATCATTATGGAGAAAAAGAGGCTGTTGATGATGCGTGTAGCAAGTCTCTAAACGATATAGAAGAGCTGAATGATTTGATTTTAGTATTGAAAATCTGAATATGTGCTGAATTTCCACACTGATTTCAGGGTAACGAAGGTCTTTCTCGCCTTTTTTAACTCTGACTGGTTCTGACATCCACTTCTTTGCTGCATTTAGCTGAAGTATGCGGTCTGGATAAGTGAAAGTAGTAACTTCCTCCCTGCTGATGGCAGTTACCTGATTTAGAAATAATTACTCTTCGAAAAATTGATTCCTCTTAGTGTTGAAAAATAAATAGTTATGGTCACATAAAAGCATAACATCGATCCATGAAGTGTTTGACTACTTGTTTGAGCAATGTTTAAAGGTGTAAACTTTCATGCATGGGTCATCAAGCCACTACAAATCAAAAAGGCTTGATTTATGGTAGTAATGCCGAAAGTCGTTCTCAGTGACGAGGATGCGCTTACGTTTTGCGATCTTCTACATCTTTCTCTTCCAAGTTTTCGTTTATTAGAGTTTTTTGACATTCCGTTTTTTTCTCTTTTCCTACCTTTATGAGTGATTTAGTGAAGTGTCGTAGTGTGAAATATAGCAGATGTTTTGTAATGTCAAATGTCAAAACTTTTGTCCACTTGTTCTGTACTGTTTAGTTTCAGTTGAAAAACCAACCTTAGTGTTGTTCTTTATGGAGTTCAATCTAAAAAAATACGACTTTATATCTTTCCGCTTCATACCCAAATTTAAACATTCATCATTGTAGACAGTGAATGAAAGCTTTAGCACAGATATAGCATAATTCGGCAACTACAGATACAAAAATGCAAATTTATTGACCACAATGTATTCATCCGATTTCTGTAAAACTCTTCAGCCAAATATTCTATATAAAATGTCATCTATACTATTAGAAATACATTGGAAGATATATGATTGATAGATAAACATACTACAATGAATTAATAATAATAAATCTACTTTATTCCAAAAACAGTACTTATGATACCGAATGGAACTCTCAGCATTCGTCACAATATTGCATCTGATTTACTCAAAATATAAATAAAATTAAAACAAAATTAACCAGAAGAATTTGTCCACATTTACGATATAAAGTCGAAAATGCATGAAGTACGAAATGAGAATATTTAATATAATAATAACAGTGTGTTTGTTTCGAACAGTATTGTCGGTTCAGTTTGAAAATATTAGCATGTTACAGATTATTGAATCTAATGTTGTGTTGTTATAGTATGGTGAGGGGAAATACAAAATTAACAGTTATAACACAGCTGAAGTGATGTTCACACTTATGAAAAAATAAACTAATAAAGACAAAAAATTGAGAGGGTTATAAATATAAGAATTACAAGACAATAAAGGTTGATGCTGTAGGAGTGGAGGAAATGGTTTATTTAGTAGTGCAAAGAAGGTTAGTTAGTTCATGCCTAACACTATTTGCATCACGTAAAATGCATGCCAAATATAGTTTAGTGGAATTTCTATACTTAGACCTGCGCGCATAAAGTCTTTTGAAAAGACTTCTTATTTTACATGAGGAGACACAAAGTTGAAGCTGCGGGTGAAGTGGATGCTCACAGTCTGACAAAATCCCTTTAGCGAATTTGTTGCATGAAATAAAGTGCCTATCCGTGACAATGTCAACGATATGGCCTAATGGGATAGTATACCATTCGTCCTACCGACTGACAGTCTTCAGAGTTCTATGAAGTATGACATAATCTTTTTTAAGCAATCCAGGAAAGAATTAGCAGGGGTGAAGGGTAAAGAAGAATAGGTAAAATACACGAGTTGACAAACTGTAAGAGGAGTGAGTGCCTGAGTGCATCAACTTCTTAGTGTAAAAAGACAGACGAAATATTCTTTTAGAAATCGCTAAGACATCGGAAGACCAGGATAGGTCAGAAGAAAGAATTAATCCAAGATACTAACCTTCAGACTTGGCTTCTATATCAGTATCATCAATCTTGCAACGGCCATGGGAACCAACAGCTTCATTTAACTTTCATTTATATCGGAAACTGAAATTGACAGTCTGACATTTGGAAGGTTTTAGTTTAAAGCCGTTATACGAACACCATTTGCTAATTCCTGATAGAAAGCTGTTCATCTTAGCACATTCAAGCTGGGAGTGAACAGACATTGAAATAGTTAGATCGTCTTCGTACTGAACAAAGTTCAACCCATCAGGGTTCGGAAGTCATGCAAGAAGAAAGAAAACAGAAACGGGGAATGGACAGTACCTTGAGGGACACCAGCCTCAGAAAGCAATCAAGTGGAAGACGTAATATGACATACAGTGTACTGCCTTCTCCCTAAGAAATAAGAATGCAGCCAATTGACATCCCAGCGGTCAGTTTGAGTTTCAGCAAGCTTGTTTAACAAACTGTTGTCCCTGGATACTGAGTTGAAAGCAGATGTATAATCTAGGAAGATGCATCGAACAAATTTAGCCCTATTGTCTAAGCTAAAGACAGTGTTATGACGCAATACTGCAGCTATATCTAAAGCACTTCTACTGTGTTTATAGGCGAATTGTTTAGGATCGGTAAAGGCTTAAAGTGAAGGTTGAAGATTAAGTAAGAGTAACTTTTCCATAGTTTTTGGAAAAGCAGAGGTAATATCAATTAAAATCATTCAAAATGAAAATGTTTAACACATTCCGATAGTTAAAGGTATAAGGCACATAGGAGATTAAAATTAGGAATAAAATGTAACACAGTTCAGTGTCATTAGGTGAATAAACAACTGGTTCCCAGAAGACATTTTGAAAAGTCAGGAATCGCAAACTAAATAATAACGGTTATAAAAATAGTGTTAATAAAGCACGTTAATGTAGCTGCACTAACAAAAGATGATTTTAAATGAATCAAGAAAACCAGCTATTGATATTAATAGCGATAAGTAAGTAAAATTTATCACCATAACATACCCGGAGTTACTACCAGTTGGTGTCTGTGTACAGAAGGAAATGTATGTAGAGTATTCAGTGGAATTTGATCAGTTCATTAAATCCTGCTGTATTAGCCTTTGTTGCTTGTTGTAAATTCATATTAAAAAGCAAACATTTAAATTATACGATTTGTTCGGATTTGGATTGATTTCAACTATTAGATTTTCGTCAAGAATTAAAATCATTTAGAAAGGTCACTGAAAACCAGGGTGCCGTGGACATCTGTTTTATCCTAGTTTGAAGCTGTTCAGCAGTGTGCATCCACGATCCCACCAATCATTCAACCCCGAATCTTCAGGGTTTGAGCAAAGCTTGTTGACCATTTCCCCCCCCCCTTTGGGTATGAAATACAATGATCCATGAATTCTAACTTTGATTATAATAAAATTTTAACTGAAATTGATCTAGATCCCTAAACAACCAATAAGTGAAATGTCGATCTCCACCCCTATAACGGCTACTCGGTGGATTTTCTGAAGCTGCACTGCTATTTCACAGTCACCCAGGTCCATCATATCAACGTGATGTGGATGCTCCTCAAAGGCATTGGTCGAGGGTAGCTTTATATCACTGCTTGATGAAGTCAGGATTCATAATTCACTGAATTTCAGCCCAACTGACTGAATGGTGGACCAGCTTAGTTTCTGAACTTAAAGGTTCTAGGTCCAATCCTTGATGGGTTCATGGGCGTGCAAAACTGAAGAGCCTCGAGGAAGGACGAAACAGCTGTTCAGTTATCCCAGGTTTTCAATAATCTCTCTAAGTGATGTTGGTTCAAGGTGAATTCTAATAACTGGATAAGTGTTTTCAATCATATTAGCAGCAATT